CGAAAACATGGAACGAGTTCTGTCGCTACAGACTTTGCTATTGCTCCATTCACTCTTCAATTGGGGTCTCCTTGGAAAGAAATTTGTAAACCACCACACCAGATTCGCTACTGCGTTAATTTGAACTGAAACATGTGATAAATGCCTTCGGACCACTCAGCCTCTGCAAATCTGCAGTGAGCTCCAAAACGTTCTGGCTTTGAAAAAAAAAAGAGACAGAAATCCAAACATATTAAAGTTGATCGACCACTTAGTAGCCTCACTATACGAGTAATTCGTTTTCGCTGGCCTAGTTGCTTTTTTTGAGCAATGTTCCCCACTGGTTGGCTTGTTCAGATCTCATTTCGGCAGCGCTACCAAATTTGCAATCTGCAGCAGACTCGTTATTCCTTCTTTCGAAAGCGGGAAGTACTGAGTTTCCACGAATTGGCAACTGCAACCTACGCTTAGTCATTTCAAAACCAATATGAAATTGAAAACGGATGTGACACAGCGCGTGAATAGTCAACCTTACTCTTCTCAAAAAAGTAACCTTATAACAAATAAGGGGAAATAATCAATCAATTTAAGTAATCAAGTTTTTATTTAGGTTGGAAGGAAAGTTCCTTAACACTCAATTCGCGCTCTTTCTGGATTTCTCCCGAATGCTCTGGAATCTTCCATGGGTGGTATATAGTAGGAGTGGACCGTGCTACGTACGGTGATCAAATCAGCTTTCCCAATAATGGCGTTTGCATGGCACTAAATCAACTTTTCCCGCCAGACACTCCGAGCGCTCATTCTGTAAGAGCTCCGCCTAGAGAGATCTGCCCACCAGAGGTGGTCAGGATCAGTCCCGGGATAGGCCTGGGCACGTTCTCTCACATGGCGGTTTCGGCTTGGTTTAAACGCTCCGCAGCGAAGACTTTGATCTTTCTGACGCAACACACGACTACTGCCCATTTTGACGTTTGACGGTATTTCCCACGGGTGATGATCTGTCTGGAGGATTGACGAGTACAAGGGCTTCACAATGCTCCGATGCTACTGCTCGATGAACGCCGATTTGCAGGGAATATAGCTTCGCCGATATAGTAGGCGACATAGTCAATACCTGAGCTTCGCCGAATAAGCGACAAGTCAACCTGCTTCACGACGCGCAACGTCGCGGGTGTTCGGTCTCAAGCCACAAGACTCTGAAGCCAGGCAGGACCGCGGCTGCCCGTCTGCCATATTCGTCAAACCTATCTATACACCTCTTCAACCTTTCCTGCTCGCTTGCTCATTACCTGGAGAACAGGAAGCTCGACGACGTAAACGAGCGCAAATCCGACACCAGAAGGTTGTTTGGCAAAAATCTTCCTAATTTCTAATTTCTGCGGTGTCACCCAAATGCCCGAAGGTTGGCGTAGTGTTGTTGTATCTAATGGTCAATATGTTATGGATCATTGAATAAATAAAGAATAAAAAAAATAAATTCAAAAATTGAGCTACAAGTGTTAAGGAACTTTCCTTCCAACCTAATAGTAAGTTTCAAGTACTTATGGTTAGTGTCTTATTTTGAATGAGAGTGGGCGACCAAATTCCGGTAGAGTTATAGGGTGTCGGCAAGAAATACTTTGCCCGCAAGCAAACAATTCAATACAAACGAACACACAGCCTCCATTTTCATTCAATGTTCAATCGCTTTTTATTTTTGAAATTTTTGCTCAAAAACTGACCAAAGATGACACATCACAATTGGAGCCACTTGCTCAGATTTTCTCTATCTTCGAGATCGGTTAACTGGTACCAGACTCGTCTGATAGGAAAAAAACTTGAACATGGGCTGGCCGCAACTCTCATTGTATAGACCATATCGCATTCAAATGCTACTAGGATGCTGAATGGATGCAGAATGCGCGGCGCATCTCAAAAACAGGACTGATCAACGCCGAATGCTTCACACTTTATTTCTTCTTTATTACAGTCAGACAAGACATGGGTCTAATAAGCGGCTATGACAGCCTACGCGACAGTACCAGAAAGTGTTTGTAACGGAAGTCGCCAATGCCAAAGGCTTTTACGTATCCAGAATAGAGAAGTATGAATGCTCATGTTCCTCCAGATTTTATATCCCCCCATTCACAGCAATGAGATAGCAGCCATCGTCACTAGAAAAATATGAGGGAGTAATGCTCCTCCCTTTCTCGAAAAGTATTGGAAGCGCTGTTCAAATTAAAGTGAGCTACACAGAAGAGCTAGAGTTCAAGCGTACTTCCATCTTTTGCACGCCTGATAGCAGCAAAACCTTGCGGTCGGTTATTTTAAATGTTGATGCCCTTGGACAAATTTCTGGGTTGGTAGCATGATGCGCCACTTGTCAAGGAAATTTGGGAGCCAATGCGACCCATGCTGCGCCAAAGAATCGTTGAACTAGGCCGTTAAGGAACAATACCAACTGCGGAAATAAGTTATTTCGGCTGTGAATAGCAGGAAGTTTACGCGCATCAAATTAGTAATAAGCAAGATATTAACTGAAACCAAAAAAGGCTAGAAAAAAACCATAGCGAAATTTGGCTGAAAAAACAACATAGTCGCAAATCGATAAGCTGCCGCTTTGGCCCTCAAAGCTATCATTATGCAACATCGATGAAAAAACAGATACCATAATTATAACTAAATGAAATAAACTCTAGAAACCCATGAAGCCTGCTATTTTTAGCGTCCTTTTCACATCCATCCACAATGTTCACCTTAGCCCCCCACCCCCGCGATGACCAATCGATAACAAACGACTCACTCATAATACTCGGTTCGCCAACAATTGGGAGGACTTTGGTCGGAACAGCGCAAAAGTTTTCGTGAGACTGCCTCTCATAAATAAGAAATCGACCAAGGAATCCAGTGCCCCATCAGTCAACTCGGCAGATGATATTCTGCGAATACTCGCACCAAGCATTGACGACCTCGAGAGCATAAAAACACTTTGGGAGCCAGGCAACGAAATGTGGGAAATAGGTTCCAAATGAGGATACCCACAATTACGGGGGGGGGCAATTAAAAAAAAGACATTTTGTCTGCCACATCAACGGAATTTAACCCATTGCGGACCGCGTGCTGCACATGGTGCAGCACGCCACCACGCGGAGAAGGACAGTAATCTTTTTTTTTTCGGTATTTTGTTAAGTTACAAAGTCATCAGTTTACTTTTTTGGACACAGGATATATCACTTATTGGCATACTGGTTAAATTTTGATAGGTCATCGGCCACTGATTAAACAGATGACAAAAACCTACGGAGGTGCAATTATAACGGCGGTCCGCAATGGTTAAACAGCACTCTGCTCAATTCAAACGAATCAGCTAGTTATCTAGAGCAACATTCTTTCTATAGGAAAATCTTCATATGGTGGCCACCTACGTGGACGGCATCAGAAGAATTTGCCCTGGAAACATGGTGCACTGGTCGAGCTCAATGGGGTCTTCGAAGGATCGTGTACCATAACGACCCTTACTGAAAAGCTAGTTCCGAGGGGATTTGCACAGTGGTAGCTAATGCCTCTAGAAAACTATCCAACATTAAATCGATTCACGAAATTGCGTAAGAGCTTCAGGCTGAAGCTCTTACGGTAGACCTCCTTGAGCCTGACGACGGTGACAGATGACGTCATATTCTGAAGACGGTGAGGGCAGTGAAGGAGGCCTGCGTTCACTATAGAGGGACTTACCCCTTTGACGACCGTGTGGCCCGCCGGTGGGCCACACTTTCACTTAGAGGCGACTCGTTTTTCGTCATTTATTTGGCATTTTTGAGTGTTTCAAAGCTGGCTGTATACATTATTGAAAGCGCAAAACAATATGCTAGTTACTAATAGTGAAATTGTTTGAGTGTTAATGGATATTGACGAAAAAATTTAAAAAAGAAGTGAAGCAATGCACGCACAACGGCGGTCGTCAAAGGGTTAAAGCATAGTTTTGGCTGAGGAAGCTTTCCGGCAATCCTGTGAACGAAAAGCGGGGAACGTAAGAGCGAATTGCACAATACAGTGGTTAATGGCCTTCCAATCAGGATTAACAATAACTTCTATTAGGCCGAGTTTCTGTGCTTTAACTTTCTTCAGATCTGGCAACAAGGATAAAAGTATTGTCAATGTTGTTTGCTGGTTTGGTAACTACTCTGTCGTGGTCTGGTGACTACGCCAGGATTCATACAAAGCCGAATTTGGACACTAAGAATTATTTTAAGAAAAAAAAGAACCACAAGCAAACAAATGTTAAAATAGAAACGGAACCTAAACTTGGGAAATTCTAAGCCTCCTGGGAAAAAGAGTCCAAACGACCCGCCGTGCCCTCAAATACAGAAATTCAAGCCTAACCGCTCTCTCCATTTCTTCCTTGTTCTATTTTACCAGGAAGTCCCCACGCAATCAAAGATTCTATTGCCCGTTGCATGAAAAATAGCTCGATCTGCTCTAGGCCGAATGAATCACGCCAATTCGAGCAGCTGCGGCATGATTTACTCCAATTCATACGAAAATTTAATTAACTTTAAAGAGCAGAATCCCGAGTAGGGTGCATATTTCAACAGCCATAGATCACTTGTACAACTACGAAACTGAATACGGGGTTCAAACGAACCTAGAAGGCGAAGATTCTGGATCAATTCAAAAAATAAGCCAAGCTGCTTACGAATCGAACAATTTTTCAAACCCAGAAAAAAAAACTCGCCCTGTGGACAAAACGAAAAAAAAACGAATTTCGTGCTGGATTCCCACAACGGACGACATAATCAAAGTCACACGATAAAAAAATATAACATAAGCTGAGCAGCAGCTGCTGCGAACAATTTTTGAGAGACATCAAGAAGACGTCGATAAAATATGAACGCCAAACGCTCGCTCTGCCCGAAAACTACGTAACCGCGAATAACTCTTCAAATATTGACACAGCATACCGCAATATGATCTTCATATAACTTCCCCATCTCATTTGAAGGAAAACAAAATGACTAAAATAATGTTTTAATATTCAAAAATACTCACCTTGATCCGCATAGACTCAATTCCTCCGCGGCATCGTGAAACTCATCTTCCATGTCACTGTATGCGGACACTGAAAATCATCAAGAATAAAAAGCGTATAAAAAGCCAATTTCATAAAATGTGACAGTTCTAAAATAACAAAAAAAAGCAAAAAATAGAGTATAACGCCGTCAAAAAAAACTCACATGGTGGTTTAAAGTTGGCGTTGTCTGTCAATGTGGCAGCCCTTTCCAGGCTCGAGTGTTGCTTTGCAAGTGTTTCCAGTTGCTCCTTGATTGAAAGGTGTTTAATTCAAGACGTCAGAACTTTTCAATCCTAATTAATATTACCTGCAACATAATCTTCTCTCGACGTTCCGTCGCCACAACTTTACCCATGCGCTTTGAGCCACGATCTGATAGATCTACAAACTCTTCAGCCGCTTTGAGAACAGCGGCTGTTGTAATCTGCAAAGGCTGATCAATAATACTAGTTTTTGGCCCAGCACACATACACAAAAAGCCTCCGTGGTGGGAAAGAGAAAACCTGATACTTCCATCTTCAAAGATAAAAGAACGAGTGGGTGGCGCCCAGTGGAACGAACAGCGCGTTCAACTTTCACTCATAACCTTACAAACTTTTGAATTCACACCTAACAGGGGGAGGGGAGGGTCTTTCAGGGGGTTACCGCGCTTCTTTAAAACGGTTTGTTGCATATTGTAGGGGCATATTTATGGGCCACAAACCATGTTTCGTTTCCGCTAAACCGTTTTACTAGTATCAAAATTAGTGAATAATACTC